TGCAGGATTTGCCCGGCGGAGAACTCCCGGTGGAGCGGCAGGTACCATACGAAAAACACCTGCATCTTGCTAGCAGCATGGCTGCCGCGCTGCGTCGGCGCATGCCTTCGCGGGTGTGTGCTGTCTGCTCAGAACAGTGTTCGGAGGATCAGTCGGTGCTTCATGCCTGGTTGGAAATTCCCAATGTGGAGATATTACGCGCCGACATAATGTGCACTGCCGCCGTGCCGCGTCATGCGCGTACCCTGGCTTGGCGGCGCATGCCCTGCACCGCCCAAGGTGCTGCACCACCACCACCGGATCCGGTTTTACCGGCACGGTATCGTATCAGCAGATCCGAGCGCGGCAGTAGTGCTGGCGCTGGTGCTGACACTGATCCAGCGGCATTCGTGGATGAAAATGTGTTGGCGGTTGACAGTGATGGTGCAGGTGATGGGGCTAATGAGCCGGAGTCACCGGCAGGTACTGCAGAGGACACAGCCCCGGTACAGGTGCCACCCGAATTGCAGCCATATCCACCACGGGTGCAGCCACGGCCTTGCATCGATGATCCACGGAGTGTGGAGGTGCCGTTCTGCATGCGCCTTGATGCGGACTTGCCAAACCGGACCATGTTCTGTGACGATGATGGCCCTGACCGATTCACTATCTGCACCTCTTGCGAGAAGGCATTGACAGGTGAGCAACCCATTTGCATGTTCTGTCCTTTCTTCATTGCTTTATGCTGTTGCACGCCTTTCATCCGTCGGGCCGCCTGATTTCTGTGAGTGAGACTCATACACGTTGTCATTACACCCTGCCTAACCGATGCCCACCTGTCGCCGCTCTTGTTGCAGCACGCCGAGTGCCTGAAGCGGCTCTGGCGCGACTCGATCCGGGCGACGTGCCATCTACCAATCACCTAGGCGACCCGTTGCCTGCACCCACGTTTGTGGAGAGTCAGCTGTTGGGGCGGGGCCGTCTCATGCAGCAGCTAATGATTGTGCATCTCACGGGCCGCCCCCCCGAGGTGTTGCCGTGTGCCGTACAGTCACATGGCATCGCGGTCGTAAACCCCGACCCCAATATGCTACGGGGCCAGCTGCCCGCACGCATTGCGGATTTGGCTGGCGCTTTCACGGTGGTTTGCGTGGATCAAGTCCGAGACCGGCAGGACTTGCTGGATCGCGTCCGCCGTGCACCAGGCCTGAAAGTTCGAGGCAACGTCATCGTCGCCTGGGTGCGTTTCCTTCAGCATAATGACGACGATGAAGGTGCGGTGGACGAAGAAGCTCTACAGGAGTATGAGCGTATGGGATGTGTTGCGCGAGTACCAGAGGCACTGCTGCACTCTGCAATCGGTCCTACGGATCCAGAAGTCGCTGGTGTACTGCGGAGTACGTTCCTGCACGACCGTACCGGCGCTGCTGGTGTACGACAGCTGCAGGAGACGTTGCAAGGAAACGTTGCTGGTGAGATCATTCAGGGTGGTGGCGCTTATGGATCACCGCTTGATACAGGTGCGACTTTTCACGGGGTAAATCAACGGGGTTCACAGACGGATGCAAAACTGTATTGTGCTGTGTCGATTGCAGCTAAGGGGGCTGCAAGCCTACATGCGTTCCTTTCCAGCTGACGGATTTATTTCCACCTGCTTCACGCACATCCTTCCAACATTGCTATTTCTGTGCTCCTACATCTGTTATAGGTCCTGACGGGCCCACGGCCAGAACAACTGCCTCTGACACTCGTATGGCAGGTATGTATGTGATGGATACGGTACGAGCTGTCCAACCTGGTGGGCTGGTACGTGCACGACTGTTTCTCCGCACCCATTACGCTGTCGGATTGTACGGCCTGTATGTACCTGCAGGTTTGCACATGCTACGACTGCTGCTGTATGTGTCGTCCGGGCATGTTCGTCCACCTGTCGGATTCCGGACCATTAACTATTATGTTTCTTACCACCTCCTCATCTGCGGTGTATGCACAACCGTGCCTATTTTCCACTATAGATGCTGGTGCTACGGGCTTAGCGCCTGTTGCGGTCGTCGTGCGCCAACCAGCTGATCCTGGTCCTCTCCGGGGTAAGTGAGAATCTGCAAATTATCCTATTACTCCTATTTGTTCTGTTTGTCCTACTATATTCATCGGCTGACTTTGGCACGTCCTGTGCATACATCACGAGTATCATTCCAGTGCTGCACCATTTGCCCGTCTGGCATGTTAACCTTATGAATATCCGCCCCCTCCACCCAACACAGCTGATGCCGATCTGGGCGTTCCGAATGAACTGGAGGTGGTCCTTCCGCAACCAGCTCCTGTTCCGACGGACGGCAGCGACTTTGATAACCGGCCCAATGTGGTGCATGACCTGCTCACCGGGCGTGCACGTCTCGCATTCGCTGCTGGCGGCCGTGGCGCTCAGGTCCTGGATGACCGCCATCCAGCCATCCTTAACGTCTGCTTCCCGGTCTCGTTTCCATATGGTTTGTCCGGACAGCGGCCACCGGGTATGTCGTTCGCCTCATATTGCAGCCACCTTGTACGGCGGGTGCCACGGTCGCAGTTCAGCAGCAACTTAATGCTGCTTGCCCGAATGTATGATATCAGCGTGCGGCAACAAAGCATGGCGCAGGTAGGAGTGGCCCTGCGCATGCGACCACGACTGGGTGGACCAGCGGCACGGGTACCGAGGGATGTGGTACGCACCATGGCGGACATCTTGGCGCTGCCATACCGTCACGCCCAGCGACGGCAGCTGCTGTCGCAGCAGTCGCCCGTGGTGCGTGCCCTCCTGGATGGCGCACGTGCCAGCCTCCTGCGAATCGACCTTACAGATACCTACTATAATGGTGCAAAGGCCATGATGCGTGCGGCTGCCCTCACCATCGGCTGGCCACCATTGTTCTTCAATCTCAACCCGGCGGACATGCATGCTGGCTGCGCTGTTGTAGCCTCTGGTCAGCTTATAGAGTTCGACGACGCCGGTCGTCCGACCCAGATCAGCAGCACGGTGGAAAAGTGGCGCCGCGTCAAAGAAGACCCGCACAGCTGCGCGGCACTGCTCATCGCCACAAAAGAGGTGTTGGTGGAGCAGTTGTTTGGCTTTGCACCTGGAGCAATGCGGCAGACTGACCCTAACTGCTTCTGTGGGGTCGTATTCGAGGTAGTCGTCAAGGTTGAACAGAGCGGGCGATTGGCGCTACACTTGCACGGAGTCGCACACCTCGAGTGCTTCGCACTGGACAACCTTCAGGTGTTATTCTGTGGACCCAACTGCCGAGCTCTGGCACTTGCATACGCGCTGTGCGAAATGTGGTACCCCTCCCCATACTATGCTCCGGCACCGGACAGCGGGACACAGCCTCTGGTCATGGGTATGTCTGATGCGGAAGTGCAGCAGCACGGTCTACCCGTGCCAGCAGTGCAGGCGGACTGCCCACCTGCAGCATACAACTTCGAACGACTGGCGGGGTGTGCAAACGGCGAACTGCCGCCTCCATCACGACATGCCGCCTGCCGTGCCCATCACGCTGCCGTCATACGCAGTACCCTCACCCACAGCCACAGTTCGACGTGCAAGCGGCATGGCTGCCGCGGTACCGATGACAGCTGCGGCATGGCCTTTCCCCGACTCATCCGCACAGCCTTTCAATGGATCGGTACCACCGGCCTATTCTTGCTGCCCCGCCTGGCACCCAACCTCGTGCCACACATGCCTGCCATTGCCCTCGCCTTCGGCTGCAACCATCTGATGTCCCTGGCCTGCGAAGTCGACCGGGAGTACACAGCTGACATCGCTGCCCAACTAGCGCGTCCTC